GGCCAGCTTTTTCAATAATTTCTGTATGAATAAAAGACTCATTATTACTACATTACAATCTTTCAATGTTGATGTCTGATACCAAACTGAAGCTGGTCAAATTTAAAATGCATAGATCTCAGACGATTAAATAAAGCAACCTCTTTTACGCACAAAATTAACAAAACACACAGAGTAGTCTACAAGCAGGGAAAGTCTAAACTTGCGTACTGTAAAATACTTTATTTTAGCTGAAATAACATTTTGCTGAAATGACATTTTGGGTGTATTGTATGGAATTTATTTTCACTGATTTTTTACAAGTTGAATGTAAAATGGTGGAAAAAAGGTATTTTCAGCAAAAATTAATTCCAAAGTCAAAATAAAGTATTTTACAGTAAGCACATGATTAAAAAACAGAGATTACAGTCATTCAAATACCAAGTCATATGGAATAATTCCACTAACTTGAAAAAAATTGATAAGCAATAATTGTATTATTTGGCATTTATTTGAAAGCATTAATACTTATTATTTTAGGCAATCATTTTCCAATATATGTTATTTCAGTCAACAGTTAGCATACAATATCATTATGAATATAAAAAATTAAAAACACCAATTTGAAATTATCAAAACATATTATATAAAAGTAGTATCCAATATTGGATACAAAAATAATTATACTGCTGTGCAAGTAAGTTCAATGTCATAAGCAAAACAAGACGCGTGCATTAAAACTGAATAGCAACAAAAAACAGACTACTAGTATTAAAAACATGATGCACTTTCAATGTTGGGAATATACAGATCAAAAGAATTCTGTATATTCTACCATAGACCATCTAACAGAGGGTCTATGATTCTACAAACAGAACTAAGGGAAAATAAAAAAATCTAGACAATGCCCTGTCGCTCACTCTCTTCATGATTATTCATTTTATCGATGATAATGTACGGAACAAAGTGGTACTGGGTGTGTACATTTATAATATGTAAATAATACAAAGTAATTTTTTTATCAAACAGGAAAAATATTGCAGTTTTCAGTGGGTTAGTGATTCACCAACTGATAGATGCCAACACAGTAGTGGTTCCAATAACACATCCCTTCTTATGTCACAAGATACTTTGAACATACATTAGATTATTACAAAGATGGGGACCAAACAGCGTCCATCGGTATGTACAAACTGTGAAACACTAAGAAATCAAAATGCCCAGTAATTCTTAATATGTAAACTGGAAAACAATTCCACAGAAACAAAATACATACTGACCTACTTTTTGAATGACACATTAATAGAAGCACCCCATTTTAGGGACCTCACGTGAAATTTTCTCTTACAAAATGTTCTGCTACCTATCATTTGGTGGTCAATGTTTAATCCATACCATCAATGTTCAATCCATACCATCAATGTTCAATCCATACCATCAGGGGTAGAGGAGACGGTGGTTCCGCTATATTAGTGATTGATTAATAACAGAGCTCACATGTAGTGAACTTGTTCAGTCTGTCAACAATACTAATCATTCATAAAACAAATCATCATCACTGACATAGTCCAAGTTCAGTAATTAAACCATACTCATTGCGGCACAGCACATTTGATATGAAATCCATGCAATGTACATTTTTTTTAATGTGTGCAGCACTACAACTATGTATGGCACTTCAATTTGATATTTGAAATTCATCAACACTGTCAAAATATATAAATAAATTTGAATCATACTGTTGTATCATATTCTTGCACATGCTGAGTTTTTGGCACAACTTATGATATGCAAACTTTGCAAAAACACAAGAAGAGAGTAATATAATATCTCTCTTCATAAGCCAAACGTATTAGTAATTATTGTAAAAAAGCTGCTCTCTCCTAGCAACATTTGTAGGGAAAGTAAAAATGGCAGCCAATGCTAATTCCCTAGGTTATCTTCTAGTTACTTTATATGACTATCCAAAATAAAATGTCATCAAACAATTTTAAAAAACGATTACCTCATTGGTAATTAAATGATAATCATTTTTCAGAGCAATGCATCAAAGAAAAGTTAGGGCTTCTACTGTACTGAGATAAGTTATTTGTAAATTTCAATCTTTGCAGAATTATATACGATTATCATCAGAGGTACATTACTTGGGGTTTGTAACTACGGTGACATGATACCAAGATCCCGTCACAATCTCGCTCTCGCATAAACGTTCCAACTCAGAAAAAATGCGAATGCGCATGCCCGAGGTAACTAGGATACTGGGATGTCCAGGTGGATCAAAATAGCTGCTTACGATATGACGGATTACGAGAACTATATTTTCTGCACATTTTCGATGTATTAAATTTTTCACTATGATAGTGACAAGAAAAGTTTATTTTTTTCATTACAAACCTTGAACATTGATATGCGTCATGTCAGAAGGTTGTAGCCTCAGTCTCGCTATCTACGAGAAGAGACTTGAATGGGATCTTGACATGATGTCACCATACAGTACTATGCGAGTTGCAAACCCCAAGTAATGTACCTCTGTTATCATACATATATTCCTATCAGCAGCATACAGAACATAAAATACACATAAATACAAACTACTTACATATTAGAAATAATTAAAGGAAACACCATCAATTGTAGAAAATAATTGCACATATCCTGCTATACATTTAAATATAAAGTGTACATCAAGATGAAAATTAGTTTGAAAAAAATCTCATTTACCCTTAGCTACTTGTGCAGTAGTATAGGTTATCGCACTTGTTTATATTCTGCAGTGACTGGTTTTAAGAACCAGTTGTTAGCACTTGAAGACAAAATAACAACGTTGTTTACTGCTGTTGTTATTAAATATACATGTATATGTACCTGTTAACTTATAGGAAATGTTATCGCAGCAGATCCAGAGCTTGTGTTGATTGACATATCACATTTTAGCTTGCTGGTTGGGGAAAATGTAAAGATATGAGGTCACAGTGCGACAAAAACAGTGACCCAGCAGTTACATCACTCTACACAATCATGGACAGGATAGCATGTCCATTGAATGCATGCTGCAAGTCTTTGTGTTTTGTGATTTACCATCATGTCTCATCTGTGCGGCTGCGTTTCAAATTTCACATACTTCATAGGTAGTACTGTGCAACAAACAATGCACAATATTTGCTATGTATGCATGACAACATGTTTATAAAGCAGTTACAGACAGCACATGCAAGAAAGGGTCATTGATGTTCTTTGTCTGTGAAGTGTTAAAAATTGTCATTTCTTGATATTGAATCATATTATAAACTAAATTTACTTTTTACATGGCGTGACTGATATTTACAAGCATAATATATAATGTACAATTTTTTTTCAAATTGCAATGAATGAAACTGCTGTGACTAATAATTACAACATTTTAATGAAAGACAATACATGTAGTGTACAACAAGTAATGTCAGGTATAACGACGGTTTACACTGTCCAAATTACAATCCTAATTTCGTATTTAAAACAAAATAAAAACATGGAATGTACAACAGCAAATGTTGGGACGAATATTATAATGTTATTATGCTCAAAGGCAGTGGGGTCATCTAATTGACCAAAATATAGAAGTCTGCATTCAGTGATGTGATTCTATTTCCTTTACATTGTTTTTTTTACCTCCATTATAAATGAAGAAAATATTTAAAAGGTGACGTAGATGTGATGCAAATTATCCAAAGTAAATGGTGTTACAATGGTTAATATGAACGTCTGAAACGTTTAATTTCATAGTGAGAAGAATAAGATGACATATATAATAATCTTTTCATCAATTCTAACAACCATCAACATAATAATAATCACAACTTAAAAATTATTGCTATTTGCACAGACTTCTTATTAGATTCTACACAAAACATACATGTGGATATAAATGTAAGTAGATATTACCTATATCGCAACAAGGACTGCCATTTTCAATACAAATATATACAATTCAGTCTACATAGTAAATTGACATACACAGAAACAATTCAAATATGATTTTTCAGGTTGTACTCATTACAGTAAATTGGAAGCCAGTAATTCACAACTGATTACTCAAAGAGGTGATCCTTTATAAATACTGTATTTGTTCTATTAATAGCATACGCTTTAATGCACATATTACAGAGGTACATCTATGGTCAAAATAAGTCATATTTTAATGTACCAGCATATAATATATGCAACTTTGGTTTACATGTGTTTCTATTGAAGGTGGACTACTAATAGAGCAAATATGGTAGCAGACCAACTTAAAGCACAGTGGTCGTTGCGGAGCACGTGTTCGAATTTCATGTAAATAAACAATGTATTTTACACACATTGTATACGTCGCTATGAGTCCCATATCGAACAGGACGCGGCGCGACGACCACCGCCCTTTAAATGCAAGTTACATGCAAGCTACATGTACACAGCATAGTATGATATACTGCTATAAGCTGAAACAGTGACACACATTTGGTTGAAGTATTATGCTAGAATAAAGTTAAGAATTTCTCATTAGAATGATAGCAAAATAATATCATTACTGTAGTATTGCTGTCTGTCGTGGCATCCAGAGACATCTTCATGCAGGGACATGTGCAAAATAGTTTTGTTCATTTTCTAAGAATATGTCTATAGACGGCAATGTGTCTCCGTGGACACAAATACACACAGACTAACATAAAACACAAAGGGAGCAAAAGACAGTACCGGGGTAGAACTGATTTAAAATAGAAGGCAACTGCAGTAAGTACTGCATATATATTTGATATATACATGTAGCTATCTAAGATGTACTGCACACATCAGAAAAATTCTCAAATTTTAGACGCCTCAAAAAAATTAAACCAGACTAGATAATTTAGTATTCCGAAAATGACAATGTTTCGGGTTTTTTTTAAACTTGGTCGAAATTTCAGAATTTTTACGATACATATATATATAAACTATAAATATCTGTGATTACATGTATATATATATTTGTAAATGAAGACCTTGTTTGAAACGTCAGAGTAGATTTATTGGTCTGTCTCTGTATTTTGATCATAGCTTTCATCCAGACCCCCATCCATTATGGGGACAACTAAATCATCCATATTTGGCATCACAAAGACTTTCTGTAAAAAAAGAAAATGAGAAGTCCATTTAAAATTTATGTTTAGTCTTTTCAGCAGACGCCCACATTTTTCTACATTTTTTTCTTATATTCTTAAATATTTCTGAAAATAAACCCTAATTTTGGAGCCAACAGACAACATTTGAGCCACTTTTCAGTTTTTACTCAAAAAATTTGGTTATTTTTGTCCCAATCTTCTGAAAGAAAGTGCAGACTATAAATGGTGAAAATGATAGAGACTCACATTCAAGGATAGAACAGTTCATTAACCTTCTGATTGCAACATTCTGTCATCTATTAATGTTTACCATGTGTACAAGAGGAAGTATGAGCCGAACAGCACAAATTAATTATTTCTTTCAGAGCAGTGTTAATTTTCCCACCCAAGGGATCTTTATAAATATGTCACATACCCAAAAGTGGAGTGAAGCTTAACTGTCAATTTATTAGTAGTTGCAGTCAAAAAAAATACTGATATTATTTATAGCTAATGCTGAATTTAGTGTGGTATTGCAAGATATTAGATATTAT